TCAGCCTGTTTCTGGCTAATGATCCCAGACCAGGGGGAGTCCAGAACCACAATCCTGGAAAAGATAAGAGCCCAAGCATCTGAGAGACCAAGAGCTGACTGAGAACAAGATGACCCAAAGTAAGGGCTGCCCCAGACAGAGAGAAAACTTCCAGACAGATCCTGGTCTATACACTGGGCATGATGTGCATGATATGGAATGTACCAGTGGCCAGTTCAGGTCTCAGTCCTAAACCTAAGGTCGAATCCTAGCCTAGTAATCAGGGGTTGTGCTCCCTCCCAGCTTCTCCTGCACCTGCAGACACTGGAACAGCAGAGAAGCTGAGAAGTCCTTGACTGTTCTCATAGCAACTATAAACATCAGTGTGTTATCAGCTGCCTTCTCATCACAAATACAAAACACAGCCTCTTACTAGTCTATGAAGAAGGTTAACTCTGTCCCAGTTGGAACCAGGACATCTTGCTTGATTACAACAAAGAGCTCCTCTAGCAAATCCAGCAGATGCCCACTAAGATGTTGCAGAGTCTGGAACATCTCTCATATGAGGACAAGCAGAGAGAGTCAGGACTGTTTAACCAGGTGAAGAGAAGGATCAGGGACATGTCTGCTGTTTGTGTACAAATATCTGAGTGAAGGACAGAAGACGCAGCCAGGCCCTTTTCAGTGGTGCCCAGTGACAGGACAAGAGGCAGTGGGCACAAACTGAACCACAGGAGGTTCCCGCTGAACATCAGGGAACGCTTTTTACTGTGAGGTTGACTGAGCACTGACTGGAAGAGATTGCCCAGAGAGGCTGTGGTCTGTCCATCCTTGGAGATGTTCAGATGCTGCCTGGACATGGTCCTGGGCAAACTGCTGTAGGCCACAAGATGACCTCTAGAGGTCCCTCCCAGCCTCAGCCATGCTGTGATTCTATGAAACATCTTAACAGAGAGCTGTTAATATTGTCATAATCTTGAGCATTATTTGGTAGTAAATATGCAACTTTTGGTTCAATTGCAAAAAAATTTCATGTATTCTCAAAGGCCAAGTAGAGTGCGGGTGTTCTTCCCCACCCTTCCGTCTCCACTGTGTACTGAAGGTAGGCTTGTTTTATCAAGTTGAATTCTTGTTCATGTGTTACCTCATCCAGCTTTGTTACACTCATTTAGACTGAACTGCAGGGTTGTTTTAGTCTGCAGTCCTTGCATTCAAACAGTAGAAAAAAACTAAAACTCCTCAAATCCCTCAACTTACTATAGGCTGTGAAACTTAAGACTGATTATTTTTTATGCCAAGAGTCCCAAAGCAGATGTCCCTTTTACACAGCAAACTGATACTCAAGGACTGTGACTGTCCATGTACTTTTAATTTGAAAGTGCTAAACCACCCTTTTTCAAAATCTTTGTTCCTTCTATTTTCGGAGGGGAGGCATTATCCAACCATAAATCATCTTTATCCATGGCTCTGTGTTTCCTTTTTGGAAGCAGCTTAAGAACAGTGAATTTACTAAGTTACTGTAGGACTGAGATTCAGGCTTCCTGTACAGCACATACAGCTTTCACAGTAAAAGGCATGGTGTTGCACATGCTGATTTAGGATCTTGCGGACTATGACAATTTGTTGCATATGAAATATCTCACGCGGTTATGCTTTAGCAATCTTTTAAGATTCATTAATGGTGTGAAGTAAATCAAAGGTTAAATTTTAGCAGCTCTCAAGCATTAACCAATTTAATGATTAACAACGTGATGCAGTAGAATATGTTGTGATTAAAATAGTGACTTAAATACCACAATGTTGAAAAAATACATTGAGTAATAGAAAGAATCAAAAAGAATAGCAAGCACCGATGGTGGGAAGTCCTATTTGAATGGTCACCAACAGTAACCAGGACACTGAACCTGATGTTACACCCCATTGTGATTTTACTAACTACTACTGTACTATCCTTGTTGTTAAACGTTGGTTTATGTATTAGAGTTTGGAGGGTAGCTAAACAAGTTACAATACTGCAAAAATTTCCTTGTTTATGTTTCCCCGCGTACATAATATCACCTAATCACGTACTGAAATGTTAATGATTTCATAGAGACTAACCTGACACACAAATTCCTTCAAAATTATAATTAGATTACAGCATTCTCTGTTTATAGCCATAGAGGCAAGAGGCAACCATACTGCTAGTCTATGGATGAGATAAAGTTACTTTAGTCACAGGGCAGATGTGGTGCTGTACTCCCTCCCCTTTCCTGAGTCTCTGAGTGCTTGGTGTGATTCTTCCCCTCCTGGGTTGTTTACCAACCTAGGGTGAGCGAGGAATGAACTGTGAAAGCAGTGAACCCAAGCGTCATGGCGCCTCCTTGGTGTACCTGGCTCCTGCTTTCCATTATGGCAGTGAACCCGAGTGCTGAGGCACCCACTCAATGTACCTGGCTCCCGCTTTGAACAATAGTAACAGTTAATCACCTTCTGACAACCCAGTATGTCTGTACCTGTGTCGGAGACCAAAGAGCGATGATGCACTTTGGTAATTAGTGAAACGCACCAGAACATTCCAGCATCCAAGGTGGACCGAAGTGGAAAAGTACCTGGCAAAAGTCAATTATCTCAGACCCTATAAATAGCAACTCCAAGCGAGACCCTTTGAGCTCTCCTGGGTTGCAGCAGGCTGTGTCCAGTGTCTCCCCTGAGCTGGGACACCTCTCCTTAGACCAACGAGGTTTGAGGACCATCTGCTGGCGAAGTCAAAGAAAGGCCAGAGCAAAGTCCGACTTCTCGAGGCTCTATTATTGCCCATTGAGGAATGCCAATGCATTGTGAGTATTTACTCAGATACTCGGGAAGAAAGAGGGAACTTTTAACTATAGGCTAGTCTCCTCTATCTGCTTCTCCGTTTATATACAGTAAGAAGAGAGAACTTCAGACTGTGGGCTTGTTTCCCTACTTAGATATTTCACTGTATCCAAGTATTTCCATGGTGTTTGTGTGTTTTGTGTTTATACATATATATTTAGGATACCCTGTAGTAAGTTAGTGTAAATCTTGTCATTCTCAACTCTGTTAATAAGTTGCTATTTAATCATAACAGAAAATTTAACCTTTGATTTACCTCACACTATGAATAAATCTTAAATTGTTGCTAAATCATAACTGTGAGATATTTCATCTGTGACAAATTGGTGTAGTCAGTAGGGTCCTAAATGAGCATCTGCAACATGTAGATTGGGGTGGACCATGAAACAGCACTTAAAAAGTTGTTTTGTTTCTAATGCCACATAACTGTTTAAAAGAACACTACAAGACGCACTGACTAGGGTTTAGGTAGTTCAAATATTTCTTGGACTCTGAGTTAGGTTCCTGTTTAAGGTGGTTTGTTTTCTTCAGAGTTCAAGTGTTTCAGGCACGTAATTGTTCTACATACATACCTTATCACACTATCAAATGCATAAATATGCATAAATGAAAATATATTTGATCTTGGTTCCAGAAATATTGAAGATAAAGCTCATTGAAGATAGGTAGAATCAGCAAGTACACAGGTTTAACAATGTTTAATAACTGCGTCTGTAGCAATTTCTGTTTTTCCTGAGAGAAGCCTGGGACCTGGGGGGGGGAGGAGGAGTTTAAACACACTAATGCCTAGACTTTGTTACAATTCTAGATCAGCTGTGACAGGAAATCTGCAAAATTAATATTGGTGTCTTGAGAGATTTCAGATGCCAATTCATAAGACAGGAACAGCAGAGTAAATGCTAGTAACTGTCTAAATGTTAAAGCCTTCACTCGTCTTTCAGGACACTGCCTTGTTCCCTTTGGGGCTTGTTCCGTTAAGCAACACATAGAAAGGTGTCCATTCTGCAACTTCAGCAACAGCAGCTTGACCAACGTGCAGTGATAGAAGAAAACAGTGCTACTATTTTAATGCAGAAGATGCCTCCTCCGAGAGGGCTCTGTGAAGCCCTACTGCTTTTCTCAGACTGTTGCAGAAGCATTCTCTGTTAAAGATGCATTGAAAAGATGCAGTGTCTTCCTTACAGAAAAATTACTGGACATTTTATCATAATTTTCTATATACCAAAATGCCTAGAGCTTTAAAAGTAATTTTTAAAAAGCTTTAAAAGTACCTAAAGTCGTGCTTAAATTATCAATATGCATAAGCCATGTTATCTGCGTGGAGGTAACAGAAGTTACCTTTAACAAAGAAGATTGATTTACACAGAAATGCTTGAAGTTGTGGCCTGTCACCTAAAATTAGATATTTTGTTAGTCATTGAATTGATTTTGTTTTTTTCAGACCAGCTTCTTCATAGCAACAAGGATTAAGATCTGGATGCTTATGCACATGTTTGTCTATGCTTATATTAAAACTTGGAGTGAAACATTTTATTAGATTGCAATTTTTTTTTAGTGGACATACTAGCCTTTTTTAGTATAGCCAGATACTGATGAGGAGCCTAGCATATCAGACAGCATAAAGAACAAGAATTTTTTATACGTGGAAATAGATCATCCATTATTTCAGCTTAGTACGGTAAGGTGATACATGCACCAAAACACTGAGTTCAACTGGACGTTTCTTCAACATCAAAATTCTTCAAAGAAAAATAAGTAGTTTTCCATTTATGAAAATCCATTTGTGTCCCGGTTTCCATGTTCTCTACTACAACACTTTTGATTTTGATCACTGGTAGATCATTGAATGTCTTGTACTTCACTGTGATTCCCCAGTCATGCTGGCAATTAGTATTTTGGCAATGCATCTTGCTTTTTTTCTCAAAACAGTTAAACTGGACTAGTTTCTGGTGAGGCTTTGTTATATAACACTCCTTGAACGCATCTCCTAGGACAGTGTGATGAGATTCCTGAAATGACACATGCCAGAAGTGCTTAATAGCAGAAAAGCCATTCCTCATTTTTTTTCCTGGCATTCCCCTTCCCCTCACAAACACCATTTCCCTGGTAAGATGCTTCCTGTCATTCCTTTCAGCCCCTGTGGCTCATCACTCTTTTTTTCCTCTTTCATTAAATACCAGATACTAGTAAGGACCGGGCCTGGGTTCATCAAAACCAAAATTCCTATATATCACCAGTCACCAGGTTATACATATTTGAACTTACTTAGCTTCTCTAAAAACCGTGCTTGCAGTATTTGAACCTTGTGCATGCAATTAATGGACTCGTCTGGAAAACAGACAATTTGAGAGACTCCTGCTTCCCACCCATTTTAACTATGTGACCCCAGCTTTCCAGGAGGAGTGATGCAATTACTTGCAGTGGCGGAAAAAGTAACCCTGACAAGGTGAAGGTGTTGCAGTTGTTTATAACATATGAAATCAAAGATTCCAAAAATTAAAAACTTAATTTGAAAGCAGATGTACAATTTGAGCTGGAGTCTGAAAACTAGTTCCTCCTGGAAATGCAACTTTCACTAAATATATAAGCTGAACTATGACAGAACTCAGTTTGTAGATATTATTTAAAATACTGTGAGGAGTTATTTGTAGAGTACTAAGGAAAACCTCTTTTTCAAGAGTTTTCTGAACTCTCAGATCTATTTACACAGGAATAGGTGATAAGCCAGGAGCACAAAATGGTGTTAACAGTCAGAGATGTCTGTTAGATATCCCTTGTAATTCGTCAAAGAAACATAACTAGGTTTTCACAAGGTTGAGCTGTTCCCAGCTCCTTGCCTGTGGACCTTCCCTGTGCAGAGGAGTAGTGAACTCCATCTGCATTCCCAAAACAGCTGTTAAAAAGAAAAAAAAAAAAGGTTCTTGATTAAAAAGAAAAGAGGTGCTTGAAGGCAAGCACTCTGTAATTCTCAGCTGTGTCCTGAAGCCCCTTCTCACATCACAACTGCACTTTTCAGAGCAGCACCATCGTCCTCATCATTGTTTGATTCTACTTGCAGACCTCCTATCTATTATTCAAAGGCACCCGAGAAGGTGGGGTGGTCACGGAGGAGACGCACCTGCTGCGCTGGTCAGGAACCTGCCTGGACAGAAGTCCATCACTGGCTTAGCCCAAGACATCTCTTGCATGTCATCTCAGCACCAGAAGTTCTTGATGCTTCTTTCTACCTTCACGATGTTTTCTGATCTGGTAAGCGTGCAGCACACACAAGGGTTAATGTAAAGCACTGAGTGTGTGCTGAGGTGTTCTGCTAGGCTTGCTCATCTGCCAGACATTGCTTGAAGCACAGACAAACAGTACTGTAGGCAGTACAAAAGAAATCAGTGGCAGAAGAGCATGTACAAACCCAAGTGTCATCCCAGGCAATGGTTTCTTGAAATCTTCCATAAAACACTGCTCTGAAATCAACAAGCACTTGGCCTAACAACAACCAGCTTTAGAAAAGCACTTGTACTGGCCTGCAGCAAAGATAAAGTGCTTCTGAACATGAATATGGATGTCCGTATTACCACCGTTTGCATAGTTTCCCATCTCCCTGTCCACTATCCCAAGCGGACACAGCAATATTTTTCTTCCAGTGGACACAATAGTTTATATGTTATTTCGAAGCTGACAAGTTTATATAAATTCTCCCTCAACTTCTAAGAAGTTTTTTACAGTTATAGTACAGATGACATTCTGCAAGCTAGCAGTACACACTCTCCCTTCTCTGCTAATCTAGCCTTGGTCTGAAACCAAATACAGTGAATACTTTCCTCAGGTTATCACTTGGTCCTAGACAGACCCCTAGTAGATGAAGGCCGATACGGATTATGCCTATAAATTTGAGTATGAAAATTCCACAGAAGTACAAACCTTTCTTGCAAATGTTGTTTCATCCCAATTCTGTAGCTTTTCAAGTCCTTCATTCATCATTTCTTCCTTAAAACAGTTGTGTTTCTCGTTCTCAACCATTTCTGTTTTGCTTGTCACAAGGATGCACTTGCTATCTCTTGCCCTTCCACGACCTATACAGCAACACTTTTATCCTCTTTAGTTACTCTTAACAAGATGTGCAGAAGCAGCAGCTATGCTGTAAAGGATCATTAAGGACTTTCTGTGTGGCTGCTTTTGCTTACCCTGTTCAGATTCAGATAATGCTGCTTCTAAATGCCATTCTGTCAGCTCTTTCGTCTTTGATCACAAATGAGAACAAGATGACTCCTTCCAGGTATCCTCATGGATATCCCCCCAGCCAGTGCTGTATTGCCTGCTTCTGTGGCCTGCCTCAGTTAAGCTCAGGCACGCTTGACACTTTAGTTATTGTAGAGCATCTTGCTGCCTTCTTGTGGAAACAACAGCTAGAGGAGAAAAGCTCATCTTTGTCTTACTTACTAGTTTTCTGCCCTGCTAATTGGTGTCTATTTAAAAAAAAATCTATCACCAAAAACCTTGGGGAACAATGGAGATCACTTCCCATCAAATTATGAAGTTAGCTACTCGGATAATATGATAAAATATTGGAGAAAAACCCTTGAAACATATAGTCAATTTAATGACATTTAGGAATGTTGAACAGAAACCAGCATTCAGTGTGGCTCTTCATTCCCCTCTACTGGCTGTACTGTAAAATAACCAAGATTCAAGACCGAAGTCTTGACAGACTTCTTCAGGGAAGCCAAGACAGAAACAGGGTTTCCTTTTTCCTTTTTTTTTTTTTTTTTTTTTAATCTTGGATGTTAGAGGTCTGCACATGCAGAGGCCTCAGGTACCCATGAGTACCTGGGTTGGGAATAAGCCACTGGGCAGGGAAAGACCTTCAGAAATCAAGGCAATACATGAAACTCCGTTGCGGCAATCCTTTGTAAAATTGTCACAGTTGGAAAAATTTGTGCTATTTCTGACCGTAGCTCTTCTAGCCATACTTCTGCTTATATGTATAATTATCCACTTGAGGGATCAGTCCTCAACAATTCCATAATCTTGTGCAACATGGCTAATTTGCATAGCAAGAGCAAAGTCACACAACATAAAGGAATCAGTTCTGTGAACAAATCTATCATGTTTGGTGCCATCATTCATCTGCCCTCACTCAGGGACACAAAGGAACAACAAGACATGCACATACTACTACAGTATTTCCAAAGTACCATTCAGTAGCACTTTATGTTAATTTCTAGGCCAGAACAGGTTTCTAAAGTAATAGGTCTGAAATTCCATGCCTCTGACTTGGATCATTTTGGTGACATTACCGAAGTATTCACAGAGCACAACAAGGTTGCACTCAGAAATATCAATGCCTTCGTCAGCAACATATGTAGTGATTAGCAGGCTGCTGTCTTTGTTGTTTTGAATGCATCCACTCTTCTGCAGTGGGAGGTTCATACCTACAGTACCAAGAAACTGTGTCGGGAAACAACACTGAAGACTTCCTTGTACGAGATACCTGCATTTGCTCTTACTTAAGTGATTATAAATGAGTATGTCCTTTTGATCTAGAAAAGTACTTTCGGTTTGCATATCCAGCTGGCTGCTTGCTATACTCACTGAGCAGGAATTCCTGATGATGTGCCACAATAATTGTTATCCCGGAAACACCATTTCAGACACAGCACCTACCTGATCTTTATTAGAGAGATCCATACAGCTTAGTTATTTTAAGCCCAAGCTAACTCTTAACTTAAGCCATGCATAATTCATTTCGGCTGTAGCTTCCATTCCACCTTAAAATGTCTTTGTGCCACCAGACACAAAATAAGAGAGAGATCTATGAAAGGAACAGGGAAAATACCTCTTGAAGTAATCACAAGAAGCCATGATAGCAAACAGTTTCTAAACTTTTTTTGAGCTAGCAAAAGAATCCTGCAGCAAAGGGTCATTGACAGTGTTACAGCTGCTTTAAACAATGATTCTGGACGTAAAAAGCAAGCAGCTCCTTAGGACTGGTTAAAGGTCTTCTAGATATGGAAGAAAGCATTGTGCAAACCAGCATGACCTTCCTTTGTTTAAGAGCACAGAAGATGAACACAGGAAGTGTAGAACAATTTTAGCAGTGTACCCACCATAGGTCTAGCAACTGCTATTCCCCAGTGCAAACCTGCGTATCTGTTTTTTGGTCTCTTCTTCCACGACCCATCAACACATCTGGCTTTATGTGGCTAAGTAGGGGGTTTGCTTCTATCCACTTCTTCAAAGCCTGGAAAGCAAATCAGGGAGTTAGATCCCTGTCCAGATGAAATGTTAGTTAGGGATAGGTAGGTAGATTTTGCCCATGCTTGCCTAGACAATTGGTACTTCCGAGAACCAAAAGCAGGAAAGGTGAAACTTGTGTGTCAGGAGGAAACATCTATTAAGAGGTAAGAAATTATGCCAGATCCAACCATGCTATAACTGATTTCTATTTTTCCCAACCCTGCAACTTAAAGGCTGGCTAGAGAGCAAGCAGCTTTTCACTACTAAAAGTATGCATTTTTCTCTTATAAACCAACAGATCACTCAGTATTACCCCTCTGAGGTAAAAAAAAAAAAAAAAGAGTTGCTATTTACAGACTGCACTTTTTCCCTGCACAGTGATTGCAGCACCTGCAAACTGCTCTTATATAAGAACAAAATTCAACCAAGCTACAGTAGGCTTTTACATCTATAGTGGAAAATGGCCAGAAGATGCCTGGTGTTGATAGTTTGGACTTCAGCTTGCCTTTGATTTTTTTCTGGTTTGCAATTCTTCCAGCATGTCTATACCCAAGGATAAAATAGGGGTTGGGACTAACAGCTGATAAACCTATTTACAGTAGCCAGAGACTATGATACCTTGCAGTAAATGTTTAAGATCCACTGAAGCTAATGATTAGCAGCACACTTACTTCGAGCACAAGCTGCTTCTGGCAACAAGGTATTGGAAGGGAGAAAAAAGATCATCCAGCCTAGATCCTTGATCCTAGGCAAATATGAAATTGACCCGTGCATCAAAAGGGTCCAGAGAACATCTGCTCCACAAAGTCTTCCCTTTTTTTTGGTCAAGAACACACTCTAGGGCACAGACCTCCTTTGTGCCCACAGGAATCTTCTGAGGAACCTACAAATACCTCCTGATGTGCAGTCAGAGCAGAGGTGCTGGTTTATAACACTGCCACATTAAAGCCAAAAATTTTGTAACACATCTTGTTAAAACTAACTTCAGACCTAAAGTAAAAATCTGATGGCTTAATGATCAACTATGACATGTAGGAAGAAGATACAATGACCACCCCTGTACTGTAGGTTTTAGAAAAATAATAAAAAATCCCTCACCCCTCTCAGAGCATTAGTGCTTAGAAAGATATATAAAGATAAATATTTTCTTAGGAAGATCAAATATATGCATATTTTTCTATTTTCAGATGAAAATAGGAAGTGCAATAGATGAGGCATTATGTTTTCTCACTTTTCATGTTAAGAGCTTTAAAAAGAGACACCTTACAGCTACTAAGGCTTTTGTCTTAGCAAAGAGAAGAGTGCAAGTCTGTGGGTTATAGCAGTGTGCTTCATCCAGGATGCAAGAAAGCTCTTACAGCTTGGCATTCTGATTAGATTAGTCTTTTGAAAGAGCAGTCAGTTCTGGTTCTTTCTTTGGAAGAAAACAGCAGTGCCTTGAATAATATGTCTTCTTTAATGCAGAAAACAGAATTCTCACTCAAACCTACTTGAAAATGCCACCCACATTCTCTTTAGCATTTCTTTTTATTTTCTGTACCATTCTTTCAGATACAAGCAAAGAAAGCTATTGGTTAAATGCAGCAAAATGTCCAGAAAATAAAAATTCTGAATCTCTCACATTTTGTAGCAAACTGACAGGAGATACTCTGTGACATACTGTGCATTAAAGACAGCAACAAATCAAACTCAGTTCTTGCAAAGTGCAGTGCTATTTCTTCTTAGGAAACAACTGACACTACAGGCTGTTTTACAGCACACTGCTACTAAATCAGAACTTAGAGAAGGGTGCAACCTCTAATTTTTAATCTGAAGGGTACAAGGGGCACCAGATTCTTCACAGTAGTTTGGGATTTGTCCAGCATCACTGGGCAGGAGGAGGCTGGGCAGTGTGCTAAGCAACGTCTGTTGCGTTATGTGATGCTGCCAGCATCCACGATTGCAGACCATCCCCCTTCTTGTGGGGTACACCCTTAAGGACACTGCTGCCTTATCTCCAAGTCAGGCATGTAAAAACCTACTACAGCATCTAGCTACAATTGCTACCACTTCCCAATTGCTACTACTTCCTTATTTCCTGCCCTAGAAGCTTGAAGGTCCAGAAGGTAAGTTCCTCCCTGCCTACCCTAACACTATATTTGCACCCACATGGACACTAGGTCTTCTGAAAAGTGCAAAGCTCCTGGAAAAACAATCACACTTACTCTGAAGAAAACATTTGGGTCATCCTACCATAAGCCTTCTTCTCCCCTACAGCTGTCACAGGTAATGTGTAAAATACCTTGAAATGTAACTGTCAGTTGCTTCTCTCATTCTGTATGTGGTCCATTTTTGACATTTGTGAAAAATTCCTTTAGGTAGGATAAAGCATCCTCAATGTGAGCATCCTCACTGATGATGAGAGGATCATAGAATTTCTGCTCAGAAAGAGAGACATACATTTAAGCCTCATTGTCCATAGGACAGGGGATGAACACAAATTTATTTAGCTAGATTAAGTATTACAAACTTGTGCTGTTCTTCCATATGCATGACAACATAACAAAGTCTCCTCTGCACTATTCTGTTCTTAGTGAGTATCTTAAGACACAACTCGTATATACTATGCTTTAGCCTGTGTCAAATAAAATTATTAGGTTCAAAATTGGTTCCTCGGTGAACATAACTGTATTAGAAGGAACAGGATGGCTCCATCTCTGTATAGAAGGAAAGAGGATATATACTTACCCGCAAGTGTTCAATACAAGTGAAAAGGTCTCTACAAATGCTGCTCTCCTTCTCCTTATCTGCCAATTGCAAAAGTCTGCATTTCTTCTGAGTGGCAACTATCTAGTGTTCATATTTCTGTGTTCCAAAACCATTCTTGTTGATTTGAGAGATAAGTATCTATCAAAAAGGAGGAAACACATATTTGTTCAACTTGACTAACAAATAACCAGAACAGTTAGCTAAAAGATAATACATTTATTATTTACATATTATTATCTTATTATCAATAAGCCTACACAGAAGAACACTGTATGATACAATCACAGAATCACTGAGGTTGGAAAGCACCTGTGGAGGTCTTTAGCTCAACCTTCTGCTCAAAGCAGGGTCACCTAGAGCAGTTGCTCAGAATCATGTCCAGATGGATTTTGAGTACTTCCAAAGATGGAGACTCCACAACTCGGGGCAATCTGTTCCAGTATTTGATGACCCTTAGAGCAAGAAGTTCTTCATGTCAAGTATTTCTGTTTGTGCCCACTTGACCTGCCTCTGGAACCATCTAAGAAGAGCCTGGCTCTGTCTTGTCACCCCCTTGTGTTTCAGTCTACTGCCAGATGTTAGGCTAAAATTAACCCAGTACAATCCAGCTGAGGATCTGTGTACATATACACATCTGCAGAGTCTTTAGCAGTAAAATTAGAGCTCACTTATCCTATAAGAAGCCTACACTATTCAACACACCGAATGTCCATCGCTCCTTGAATTATCAGCTACAAGTATTCATTTGTAAATGGTCCATGGTACTTACAAGGCATATTATCCAAGGGCCTGTTCTTGAGGAAGAACTAGTCAGTACCTGTTTGTCACACAGGTACTCTATCTGAGTCCTTCAGAAACTTCAGTAATCAGGGGACCCACAGAAGGGAAGTCAGTGGCATTCATGCAAGAGAAACTCTGATGCAGAGATACGCTTCAGCAGTGTTTGCTTAATTAGTGTGCAGCTTGAAATTCCCACTGTATTTGTTCTTTGTTGGGGTTTCTTGGGTTTTTGTTTGGGGTGGTTTTTTTGGTTGGGTGGGGTTTTTTTTGTTTGTGGGGTTTGTTTTGTTTTGTTTTGTTTTGGTGTGCGTTTGTTTGGGGTTTTTTAAAATTCTTCCTTCCTGCCCCAGAATATCCTTCACTCTCCAGTATCTGGAAAGTGTGTGTGTGTGTGAAATCTAAAAAGTATAGAATTGAGGTAAACACACTTAAGGTGCCCCAGACAGTTTGCAAAATCCAGTCTAAACACAGACAAGATCCTTTAATTCAGAGCTGGATAGACCAAGGCTGACCTTGGGCAGAGCTATCCATGGGTCTCTTCTTTGTACCCCCTGTAGCTCTCAAATTTGTTGATAAGAGCCACTTACTGGACACCCCTTAGGAACCTTGCAAAAGCAGAAAAGACCAATTGGTTTCTGCAGAGGTGCAGAATTAGGTCTCATGATCATGAGACCCATTCTCTCTTCTCAGAACCATGCATCTCCCTCTCTGCAAAACTTCACATCACTGCAGCTCCTGAGGCTGCAACCCTACAGACAAAGTGTTTCCTTTCTTAGGCAGCCATATCCTCTGTCTGGTGGTATTTATGTTCCACAGATCCTTCTCTGTAAAATTACCTTAAATGCTTTTCAATAAGAAATAATGGAGACCTGGTAAACAGTGGAAAATGGGGTACCCAGAGGTATAAAGAGGACAAAATACTGATTTGAAAAGGTGGCCAGGGCACCCCCGGAAATAACTCAGCAAAACTTAGAGAAGACAGGAAAATATGGGAAGACTCAGAGCAGCAAGAGTGGAAGTAAACTTTTGCTGAAAGGAAGGAAGTACAACATTCAGAGTGACACCATAACTGAGACCCTTCTTGTCTTCCTTAACAAAGACAGACTTAGGTATGAAGCATTTGGGGAAATACTTAAATAAGAACATACAGGTATTTCTCATCAGTGAAATCCAGCTCATTGCGTTCTGAAAGCAAGCACTTTGGTAGATTTGTTTTAGATTCATTAAATGTTCAGAGTGATCTGTCAATGTCAAAAGCACACTGTCCTTAGCTGCAGGAAACACAGGTTGAAATCCAAGCAAAAATATTTATGTTTATCAAACTAATTACGTATAACAGGAAAATAGTTGACTCTTCTACACGTAATCTTTTATTTAGGAAATATCAATTAAAAGGAAGTAAAAAGGAAGGAGGAGAAAGGAAGTGGAAAAAGAGTGACTGTTTTAGCAGCCACGAGGATTCACATTGATGTAATCAAAAGAGTGAATCCCAGTTACAGACATGTTACAGTATCTTACCCAGGGAGTAAATTTTCCTCATCAGCACCTCTGTCTCAGACATCAGATCTGGGATAATGTCTGCAAAGTAATTCTGAGCTCGCATTTTAACCCATCTGACATCTAGAGACAAGAAATACAAATCGGTGACCTGAATAAATAGAACATTCCCCAGGGCAGTGCAGAACAAATTATTGTCTAGAAGAACTCTACAGGTGGTGCTCTATGCAATCATAATTATGTTTATTGTTAATGACATCATAGGTGCACCAAAGAAACAGCCCCAAGTCTTCACTGGCAGAACTGCACTGGCTTTTCTGCCTTACTAAATAAAAACCAGAGATTGTAGAGCTCAGCAAAGAGAAAACTTGCCCAAACTTGCCTTACTGTGGGGCAACAGTGAAGTGCATGTTTGAACTTCTTTCAAGCCAGCAGGAAGCAAAGCTCCAGTTTAGTTTTAAGCTTTTAGTCTCATCTGATCAAAGGAGAATTGGACAGCTGCCTTAATTATGGTGCTTTGCATCTCATGCAAAAATAAAAAGGAAGCGTGCTTACATGTTTCCGGCTTCTTTCTGAATCTCTGCAGATCCTGTTTGTTCTCTCTGAGAGTGGATATGGCCAGTATGTCAAGGTAGGAGCAGAGAGTACAGATGTGCTCTGTTGTTTCCTTGGTGTTCTTGGCGTTAACTCCAACAGAAGCAGTTAAACGTACAATCTGAGCACACACATGAAGAAGAGTGGTTGCTTCTTTGTCACAAACAAAAAAAAAACCAACCCAGGAGACACTGTTACCATGCACCAAGCTGTTACTGTGTTCAAAAACAAGGAAACAAAACAGGCAGATGAATTAAACATGAGTGCAAGGCCTAAATCTTGAGAGTCAAACCTTGTCCCCACTTGTGCCCTCTCCAAGGCACTCAAGCTTAGAGTACTCAAACTGAAAATAAACTATCACCCACTGAAATCCATAACCAGCTATATTTGCCCGTGCTCATCATACACAGAAACAGCAAATCCACCCCCAGAACAATCTTCCGCATTCATTCAGAGGAGGTGTCTTCTGAGATGGACTAAATCCTTCTGTCAGCAGAGGCAGTGGCTTCATTTTATTGTTACAGAAGACAGCAACAAAGAGGTGACAAGGAGGTTAACTAAGTTCAGGGACACATGCTTGCTTCCCAGCCCAGCAATTCTATTTGCTCTCAAGTAGCCCAGTCTCTGTCATGCAGTCCTTCTGATCAGTCCTTCTCAGAAGCTGAAGGGAAGATGTAACATGGGAAACCAGCCTGGAGGTGTCCGAGAAGAGGGAAAAAGTGTTCCAAATTTCAATTTGCAGACATTGTTAAATGGGAGTTTGAACTGGATTAACACAAAAGGCAAGATGTCAGGCTTTACTGACTGCACTGTTGTCTCGCCCCACTCCAGTGGGTGGTTGAGAGAGGTTTTTTGTGATTCCCCAAAAAGGAGCACCGGCTAGGTGGAGTCAGACGATGACTCAAACAATTTTATTTACCTCAGCAACTGCAAAAACATCAGAAATCAACTCCGAGGCAAGCACAAAATCACACTTGTCAATTATTGAGACAGGGGGGCTTAAAGTTAAAAAGGAGCGGAAGAAGAACTAATTGAGAATAGCTGTTCGGACAGTATATGATTAACATTTGCCGTGCTTGCGAAGACAGGATGAGAGGATCAAAGCTGTGATAATGGGGGAGGAACTGCTAACCCAAACGAGGGGAGAGCATACACCACCTGCAAGGCCGCGGAGATAGGGAGCCTCTAAACAAGATGGGAACCAGCCTGGTTCTTTGGACTGAGACCAAGAGACGAGGAGGTGAGAAGTTCAACTCCGATGAAGACTCATTTACTTCATCCTGTCGACCACCGGACGACCACCAGGGAGCACTACGCAGGCGCAGAAGGACTCTAGCTAATTATAATACGAAACGGGGCTGGGCAGGGCTGGGTAATCAATATGAATAGATGGATTACGAAACTTAATGCATATGCAACATTTTGGGGAATAAATAGAGGGATAGGTTTTGTGAAAAGGCGCGCATGTCTTTGGAGGAGCTATCCCCCATGCATCTCAGCGCTGAATAAACTACATACCTGCTTTACAACTTTCATGAGTTGTGGAGTCTTTCCGCTTCATTATAAGACAGTACAAAAGAGTTGGAAAGAAAGAAAGAGGGGCAGAAAGACAGAGTTAGAGACAGAGAAACACAAACAGAGACGCAGAGAACATCACCAATCCCTTGTTCCAGCACATGTCTTCTCTTCAGGCAGAAGTCTCTGTTTCAGGCAGAAACTCTGTGTGTGGAGTGGTGATGGGTCAACCCAGGGGGTGATGGGTCAACAGGGAGTACAGTTCGGGCTCACCTTTTATACAGTTTGGTTCAGTCCAGTCCTGGAGTGCCCCTCTGGGGGAGCCCAGCATCCAGGTCACCTTCGGGGTTGACCTTTGAGGGGCACAACAGCCCTGCATCCAGGTTAGCTTTGTGGGGAGGGGCAGCTGGTTCTCCACCCAGGAGACACCAGCCCTCACACCCATGCCCCACCCCGATGTAACAACTTGCTAATATTCCTGGACATGGTGGTGTCTCTTCTTTAGGAATGTTTTATCTGAGTGCTCTGCCCAAGCTAAGTCTCTTCCTTAGAAAGTGTTCTGCTCATTGTTTGAGACGTAAACACGAACCATCCAGAAGGGGATGGGTAGGGGTCTGGTCTCTGACAACTGCAAAATACTTTTCTGTGATGTTTCCAGCACTGACTGGCTGGGCCTTACCTGAGGTAGCTGGTTTGCAAAGGAGTCAAATTTTTGTACCGGTACGTGGTCAGTAACACATTGTAAGAGTGGTTGCCTGTAGTGTTGTGGCACTCATCAAATATCATCAGAGTGAAGATGGAGAGGTTGCTAAGGATCCCCTCCTCGATGCTATTCACAAGAATCTGGGGCGTCAGCACGATGATGTCACTGTCCTATATAACCTTTTCTACAGAGACATTTGCACCTGTTTCATCACTAATTCATTGAACAGAATATCTGGGAAGACGAGTCAAAAGATAGGGTATGAAAAAGGATGTCTTGCAGGGCAGAAAATAAGTCAGAAGGATGGACTTTTCAGCAAGCCTGAAGGGAAAGGACTAAGTTCAAAATGTCAGATTGTGGGTGACCCACAGAACCCGAGAAGAAAACCTGCTGAGGGTAAACAACTGGATTTTCAACTCCCATTAACTAAGATATATTAAATTTGAGGGATGGTGATTTTGTACATTTAAACTGCATCTGTCAGTTCACGTGTAAGCTGTAGTTGGAGATCCTGCCCTTCATCCCTTTTCTGTATACATCTGGCAGCACAGAACTGTTTCTGTCCAGCAGCCTCATCTTCCCATAACTATACGACTCATATGTTGATGTTCAGTAATGAGCTCCTTCAAAATCAAAAGCTATAGGTTGTTGATACTCCCCTACGCAATTTTCAGTCCCATTTGAGAAGTGGGAAGTCATTTTCTGAATATAGATTGAAAAACCAAAGAAGTTTGGGTCCTTCCATTTGGAAAAGAGACTCTGCCATTTGAGAATGGCAGCAGGAAAAGAACTGTCTTTGTAAGCAAGGCTGAAAGGAGTCTCAAGATAGAACACACTTCACCCTTTTCCAGAAGCAAGGACAGGTATACTTTGGCCATTTTGACAGATGCTGCACAACCAGTGGTTAAGCTCTCCAAAAGCAGACTTCAGAGTCTCTGAAGTCTACCATGGTAACTTGCCATTCTCACCACTAGGCATCATCCTTATGTTCACACCACTCTTGTCACCTGTAAACCCATGACATTTTGCCCTAGCCACAGCTGACTTAGAGGGAAGTTTATTTTCTGTGTATAGGAACCCACCAGGTAGAGTTACACTTACCCACTTCATTCAAAATGCTGCTTGAATACAGTTTTCTCTTGTTCATACACTGACACTTTAGTTGCAAGAAAGACAACTTCGTCTTTCATCCTGCAGGGATGTTTTGAGGATGGTGTTCACAAATCAGAAGTGCCACAAAAGTTTTTCCAGATCCTTTAAACAAGGAATGTAAAAGCCCTTTTCTGAAGCAGCCACTTTCATAGTTAGCCCTTTCCTGACATCTTTTTTCCTCCATATACCCCAGTGAAGTTCCATTGACTTATCAGAGGTGAGGGCCTGCACCATAATAATTTAGTACCTTGCCTTTTCTCATTGGACTTGAGGTCAGAATCAGGCCTGAAATCAGAATAGTTGGGGCTTGTTTTTTTCCCAGCTAAACTTTAGACGGCAACAAAACCCTGATGAAACTCACTAATATATTGCGATTACGTCCAATACAAACCTTAATAAAGGATGGGAATAAGATTTAAATATTGAACCATAAAGAAATATTGGTAGTGTTTTCCCTTTGTAGATAAAATATGACAAGTTTGCCATTGTATACAAGGAAACTTGCAACCCAAGACACAGTTTAGTACTAGGAGTTAAGTAACTTCTCCAAGTCTTTCCCATATGCTCAACATGGGGAAAAAAATCCATCTTAATTTATTAATTTCTAAATCAAGTGGTTTTGGATAATGAAGGAAATGGTTCTATTCAGAAATGGTATATACAAAGGAATGGATGTATTATCTGAGCAAAAAGTACTTAAAAGGGCATGAAGGAATTCATTACTTGGAAATACAACTTAGATAATTTTATACATTTGAAAAAGCTAAAAATAGAATAGGGAGGCCATGCTAAGTGCCCACAGCAAAAATTAGAACAAAATGCCATCTTGTAAGTTAGAAACTTCGAAATGTCATTCTGATACTTCAAATTTGACAAGCTAAACAGAATCTGGATCCTGATGTTCAGAAAATATGTCTTCACAGCTTTGCGGAATCTCTTGTAAAAGACCCCCTAATTGTGGCAGCCAGCCTTCCTAATGCCTTCTCCAAATCTTCATTCCTGTTCCTCAGCTGTGAGGTTAGCTGTGTCTTTGCTTTTCATCCCCTCAGATCACTCCTGTAGATTTTTAAAAAACAGCACACCACTGAAAAATGGAAACTCTGGTTTTCAGTGTGTTTATTTAGAGTGACAACATTTAAAGAAATACATGGGGGATTTTAGCTTATCATTAAATCTAAATGAAAGTGAGGATTTCAGGAACTGGGGTGAACTAAGTTAACTTAGTTCAACTTAGTTAATGAACAAACATGTTTGAATAAAACTGAAGAAAATGTTGTCAGGAGTCTCTGAAAACTGGCCTGAAAATTAATCCTGATCTGCCTGAATAATTTGAAGATAACTGGATCTCAATAGATGAACTGTTCAGCTTTTTAAGATGAAAATTACAGGTGACAAACAAATGTGCAAGATAAAGGCAACCAAGCAATGCTACCTCTCAGGTATACTCTCCTAGTTTCTGGTCACCTGCACCTTGGACTTCTTCACCAGAGGTGGTATCTTTATGTTTTATAGTCTTTAATGTTTTTTTTTCTTTCATGAGCTTGTCTAAAGGTCTTAGAATCCTTTTGGAGTTTCATCTTCCATGGTGTCTTTTGGCAATCACTTCCACAGATTAACAATTTGTTGTGAGAAAAATCCTTTCATTTCCTTTTGAACCAGACACCTTTTGGTTTCATCTGTTGTTCCCTTGTTCCCACACATGAGAATTTTTTTTCTTTTTTTTACCATCCTGATAATGATTTTATGGATTCTTACCATCTTCATCCCTTATTGCCTGCTTTTCTGACCATTGTCTGCTTTTCCCCAGGGGAACAATTCCTCAAATTTGAGCTTTTGTGTTGCCAGTCTGAGAACTTGAACTAACCTTTTTTATTCCTGTTTTGTCTTTTTGTAATAGGGGGGAACAGACCTGCCTACAGCATTCAAGAGGGAGGCACACCATGGAGCTGTACAAGGATATAAAAAAAGTTTTATTCTTTACTCTTTTTCTGCTAATTTCTAAGATCCTGGGTGGGACAAGGTCAGGGAGGGAGGTGTGTGTTGATTTTTTTGCCTAGTGGACACTTAGCTACTGTTTTCACAATGATATTTATTAGATGACAGATTCTGACATTCCCATTTAGAATTATTCCCTGCTCCAACAGGGGGTCTAAGCAATTCAGCTGCCTCCCTCAAGACAGCATCATACATCTTGGCAGCACTGGCAAACTGGTGTGGAGGCTGGTGGGCTGTGCAGATATCCACCAGTGCACGGAGGCAGGGGCTGTCAAGGGTGTCCTTGCTGGGCAGCCCAGGAGACTGGGCGTTTTTAGACCCCACACACCACGGGATCAGGCAACATGGTGTGCCCCTGTGGTTCCCCTTGCCCCAGCACTCCCTGTGATATTTATCAGGTATCTCTGAGCTGTATTAGGAGGCTGCAGTCACAGTTATCATCAAGGCTGCCAGTCCCTGCTCTCATAAGTGCAGATCAGCTTAATGGTCAGTTCTGGCCTTTGCATCAAGAGCATATATAGTAGCCTTACACTTACTAAAATCATCAATGAAATGCAAGCCTCTTGGTTATAATTTGTCATCTGCTTAATAGGAACATTTTAATTTGTGAGCTAAGATGGAGCAGTGCTCTAGCTGACGAGCACCAGAATTCTTAGGAAGAACAAAATAAGTCAAGCTCTCAATTTTGACCAGGACAGTAAGTTGAATCATTCCTATTTGGGTTTTAAATACCCACATGATATTTTATGTCTTACTTAATCAATTAAACATCAGTCTTTTAAGTCCCATATCAATGCCTCTGTTTGATCAGCTCTGGTTACCACTGGGCATATAGAACTCTGTTCCATAGAGAAGATGCTCTTTTCTTGAGCACGACTTGTTATAACATTAAAGATAGAGAGATACCGAGGTAAGTATTTCCTTTCAGCCCTTTCCATCAAGGTAAGTGGCAGGCAGCCACATTTTGATTCAACACAGGAATAAGTCTTTCTTACAAAGCTGTTGAGTGTGCAAATTGCTTCTGCTTTGAGGTCACAGGAAAGGGAAAGGAAAGGACATGTTTTCTCTTATGGAACCAAGCTATAGAGAAATGCTGTTAACAAAAGCTTTCAGCATCATTACACTATTTGTTAATTTGTAACTGAATAAGGTGCCATTGACAAGGGAGATTGCTTCAACAAAAGCTTTGTTTCAGGGTTTGCTTAGTACTCATGCAAAAAAGAAAAAAAAAATCCCACAGTATCAGAAGCCAGAAAAAAGATAAATTGCATGGTTGTTGAGCAGCTTGTTTTTCCAGATGGTCAACCCACAGCTACAGTTCATAGGCACATAATGTCTAACTTGTACAGTGAAAACAAGCCCTATAATGTCACCATGTCAATTTAATATATGTATATATAAACCTATAAAATGTGTTCCTCAAACAAATAATTTCAATGTTTGAAAAGCGCTCTTAGGTGTAATGTAATGGAAAATGGAATCGCATCAGTAGGGGTGAAAAAATACTGTCTGTTGCTGACAAAACAAAGCTGTAAGCATTTCTTTCCACTCACAGGTCTGTCTTTTGTTTCAGCATCAGTGACTCACAAATCATGATTATTTATCACATTTGAAGATAGCAACATGGTCAAAATCTCTACCAAATTTACTCTACTAGGATTTTTCAAAACTTCTTGCATTTTGAAAAGGTAAGTACTTACTGCAGGAAAAGTTCTGTGCCTCATTTTCGAAAAAAGAAAACCAAAGAAGGATTTTATCTTCATGCAGAGAAAATCTTGAGAAGACATATCACTACAATGGAAATCAATCTTCTCTTTTTTTTCTGCTCGTTCTGATTATCCTCACAGCTGGGTGAAAACAAACAAGATCTTACTCTTTTTTATGTTTGGGATTTGTGGCACTGAGGGATATTATTAGCAGGATAGACGTTGTGTGATCTTCTAATGAAGTGTGCATCACATAAGAAGTGAAAAACTATGTACAGTTCAGACTTCACAGTGCTCTTGTCCCCCAACACTGTTATTCCTTAGGACAGAAAGATAGTGGTAGGAGCACTGAGGTGTCTGGAGTAGTTACAGTCACACAGGTACTGACACAAGCAGCATAAAACTTCACAGACTTATTATCTTTAATACACTTGCCTCCTCACAGTAGGAACCTGCTCAGCAGTGCTGATGTGTAATGAAATATGGTTGTTCATTTCAGGGGGACACAGATGCACTCATCAGCTTCTGTCAGTGGGAATGCAAATCTAAAAAACAAGCAAAAGCTTTGCTTATTTTTTGGAGGGTTTGGAAGACAAACTATGGAATTCAGCTTCAGCTCAAGCAGATATTGGATAGCAACTATAGCATCTGTAAACATTGCAATATAGGATAATTTTTTAAAATTAGGATACATAGGATATGCATGTCCTATTTAGACTATATCCTAACTATAAGATAGGTTTTATAAATGTTGTCTTGGTATGTCTCATAAAATAGCTTGATATAGATATAGATATAGATATAGATATAGATATAGATACAAACTCCCCCCGCAAGTTCTTTAAACACTGATCCTATTTATGATTTCCAGAGATGTCTGTCCCATTGGTTAATGGGTACATGTATTTAGATTCACTGTGAACAGCGAAAACATAAATTTCAACATTTCATCCTTTATTCCAAGAAATTTCAGCCAAAAAATTTTAAAGTCAAGTGTTAAAAATGTCCTTCCAAAACCTAAAAAAAAAAAAAAAAAATTCAGCCTCCCATCAGGAATCTCTATGTAAATACACTCTCTCTTCCATAGGGGAGAAGAATTTACCATTAGGTATTAGATCTTTAGTCTCTCAACTACAGACAGATGGTGGCAATGACTAAACCATTTTTCACCCTTAAGATTGTACAAGACTGTTAATTACGCATAAGCAGCTCTCCACATTTTGCCTCAGTAGATATATGTGACAAAATCAGCTTTTTTGCTTAGCAACCTTGTGGGTTACATACCAGTCCAGTGTGGCCCTGTATTTTTTTTTGTCCTTACCCAAAACAAATTACTGTATAGTGAATTAAAGGTAATATCTTAAGAACATATCTGCAACATGCTGCAAACAGCCTAAAAGAAAGCTCTTTTAAGGAGTGAAATTATGTAAACAGAAACAGTGCTTCTGTGGTTGATTTATAAATTATCTTCACAATAATACAACCCTGTATCAATACCAGTAGTAATAACACACAATAGAATTGTAACTCAGTGATACTTGCAGTGATATTGTTGTGTAGTAATATAATGGTGATGTGTTCAGTAGCATTTAAGCCATTATTAGTTTTTCAAAGATGTGTTGCCTAACCAAGACACTTTATAGCCAGACTTTTTTTTCCTAGCCCTGTACAAATCCTCCCAGTAATCAGGAAATTTTATCAGTGACAAAAAAACTTATGAGTGTCCCAGATGCCTTTTGCCATTTGCATTGTGTTGTGTGACTTTTGTGTTGAGCAAGATTAGAGCCCTGAAAAAGACATCTTTCAAATATTATCAGGTGGGTGCATTTGTCAGGATACAAATATTAGTTTCAGTAACAAATGCCCATAACTCACAGTGACTGCCTTGCTATGAAATGGTACCCCAGTGCGATAAACAAGGAATAGGACCACATATTCTTGTATATCCATGTCCAAATGAAGTAACCTGATCTTCTTGTATTCTGCTCATTCACCTCTAATGTGGTATACTGCTCTTTATTGCAGCACTCAACACTTCATTTCCATTATGTCACTGATAAACTTTACTAAATTTTTCCTTTTCTGTTTTCTTGCTATTTGTATGTTGTATATCCAGAAAAAAAATAGTTCTAATTCAGAAAATTTGTCATATTAGTTATTTCACAGTAAATAAGGAAATCACTATTCTTCTAAATCCTGTTGGCTTTATTGAGAGAAGACTTCAAGTAGGACTAATTAATCAGCATATCTGAGAGATTGTTTTCTAATACCAAAGGACACAATGATTGAAGAGGCATCACAAGACCATGGTCAAAAGTGACAGAAAGGTTTCTGAACAGAGCTGGTTGATGCATCTCTCATGGCAAGCAATTTCACAAGTAAGCATTAAAACCAGTTTCAAAAACTGTATGCCTGACCTATTTCCAGTTTCACTGCCTGTCTTCAGATAGGGCAGCTGAAACTCAACGTTTCAGCTTGTGATCAGAGACCTGTGCCACAAAACACGGAAACCTTAGTTTGCCTCTGGAGTGAGACTAAAGAATCGTAGGCGGCTTTTTTCCCATCTCTGGTTTGCCCTTGGCTGGGGGCCAGCCCACACAGCCATTAGCAATGATAATATGCAATGGCAGGGTTAGGCAGAAGTTAACACTGTGTGTGAGCCAACGCAGGCAGGGCACAGGAACAACCACAAAACAAGGGTGAAATGCAAAGAGTAGATTTATTGGTGTTACCTTGCAAACCAGGGGAAAACTCTGCAGCAGTACGCAGGCAAGCTCATGCGTATAGGGAGGCAAGGCCGGGGGGGCGGGCCACGACCAGCAGAGCTCCGTCCTTGTGAGAGAAGGATCTCTCCATGCCACCTGCCAAACTGAGGCCACTTTGCAACTGCACTCAGTCCGGCGCACACATGCAGGGGAAGAGGACTGGTGGAGCTCAGTCCTTGTAAGAGAGCAGAAAAAGAAAGAATGCTTGAGTCTGCCACTTTCACCTGTACTTCAAGGATTTTTTGCAGGCATTGTTTACCACTATGCTTTGATGTTTCCCACAGCAGGCCAGGCCCAGGCCTATGTTAGCTGAGCACAGAGGTTCTGCTTGCCAGGCACACAAGGCCAAGAAAACAATTAGCATAACATATGTGTTTTCCAGCACCAAAGCTGTTTGGTCTCTTGAAGTGTTACAGATCTACCTCCTCACCCCAATTTTGCGCTATATTCCCACACACTGTACAACTAAATTTATCGGCCACTTTCACCCATCATCAAACCCCCTTGAGGTACACATCGAACCTCGCCGTCCTTCTGCATTACCCACCAAGTATACCCAGGTCCTTGAGCAAAAGCAATCCCATGAATGGGTTTACCTTTACCCAAGGCAGGAATAACCCAGGCTTTCTTCCTCAGCACATTCTTGATATGCACCACAGGGACTTTATCCCCATCTACAGTACGTAAAAGTTCTGACTTCAGCACAAGTTTCACATTCACGGATAACCCCTGCAATAGTGTCCATGGTTAAGTCCACCTCTCGATTGTGAGACCATCTGTATGTTGCATCTCTTCCTTTATGACCTGAAACATCATGAGCTCAACGAGCTAATAATTTTTCACCCTTACGTTGCCAGTCTAAGTCCGCGTGGTTGAAGACAGGGCCTCTCTAGTATGGACTGTAGCATTCTGTACTGTTGGGTGGATTTGTGGGGTAGAGTGCGTGGGCCCCAGTCTCGTTTTGGTTACTCAGTCCTTGTGAATACGGATCAGAAATTCTACTCACAGGATTGGGAGTAAAGTCAAAGTCAAGCCTTCTGCTCTGTTCAAGGAATGGATTAGTGGAAACTGGAGCAGCAAATCTCCTGGAAGCACCGGAAGAACTCCCAGTTGCGTTTATTCTTTGCAGCTCGCATACCTGTGCCTCTAGGGCTGAGGTTAGTTTCCATCCCATCTGCTCGTGTCTTCTCCATGGTTGCACAGGTAAAACCACAGCTTGGCCCATGGTGTATGCCATCTCCCTTGAGCAGGGGAACACTTGCTTCTAACCACTAAGACACTGGCCTGCATCCGTGGAGAGGAGGCCATACCTTCTCTCAAATGCTGGAGCTCCCGGGCCAGGGTCTCAGACGTTGTCTCAGACAGCTTCTCCACAGCTGAGATGCAGGTCTGTAAGGAGATGTTTTCTTCATATTGCCAGAGTTGGGTAACCACGTCACCCATGGTGGAGAATGTGGGCAAAATTACGTTGCAGTGGGTAGAGAAAAGTTTAAGAAGTTGCCATATAGCGATCTGCTGTTTAGACAATCTACGATAAGAAGATCACAGGGTGCCAGTGCCTCCGTACTACCTCTGATTGTGGGATCTCAAAAGCCTAAAGGCAGTGGAAATGATCAGCAGTCTAAATCTTCCATTGGATCCAGTGATGCGGGAGAAAACAGTTCCTTAGTTCAGCCTCCCAAAGGGAAGACCAAAAAAAGCCAGAATCCAGACAAGCCTGTGTCCAGGCGACGCTTTTCTAACAACTCTGCAAAAGTAAAACAGACAGTAAAAGTCAAGCCAGTCACTCACAGTCCTTTTTTGGTTCCCCCTGCTGGGGGCCAGAAAAGGACTGTGATGGCCCCTTGGGGTCCAACCCACACACCCATTCACTCACGTTGTGTGTGTCCATCCCACCCCCCCACAAGGATAGGGGAGAGAATCAAAGGGGTAAAGGGAAAAAAGGACTCTTGGGTTGAGATAAGAACATTTCAATAACTAAACTACCATAATATTGAAAATAATAGTATATACAAATATACAAATGAGTGAGACACAGTGATACTCCCCCCCCCCCACCTAATGACCAAGGCTCAGCCTGTTCCCAGATAGTGATCCTGGAGCAGGGAGAGTCCTGAAACCACACTCACGGAATGGAGATAACAGTCCGAGCGTCACAGACTGAGAGCTGACCGGGGGGGAGAGAGACGATCTTCTGGAGAGTTTTCACCTATATACTGGGCATGACGTGTATGTTATGGAATAGATTATTGGCCACTTTGGGTCTCAATCCTGAACCTAAGATCAAATCCTAGGCTAGTAACTGGGGCTGTGCTCCCTCCCAGCTTCTCCTGTTTGCAGATAGCCAGAGAAGCTGAAAAGACCTTGGCAGCCATGTAAGCATCATGTTTATCAGCTTTCTTCTGAGCACAAATCCAAAACACATCCTCTTGCTAGCTATTGTGAAGAAAGATAACTCGGTCTCAGCTTAACCCAGGACAAAAATTCACTAGGGAGCTTTGCAAAAACATTGGGCATGGTTTCTCATGCAAGCCTGATGCCAGACAGCGTGAACCAGAGCAGACCATGGATTGCAGCGACAGGGTGAGCAAAGGGCAACAGGTCTTCCACCAGTGGTTTTGTTTCCCTTGTGTAAGTCAGGAGGATATTAATAAGAAAACCCATGAATTTCAGGGGCCTTCTTTTCATTATAGTAGTCTTTTGCAAAAGGGCTGCTTGCGAGCTGATGCTTCTGTTTAAGGACTAGGCTGTCTGAACACAGGAGCAGGACTTCCAAAGGACAAGAGAATCTGGCAGCTGGCAAGGTCCCTGTGGGAGACAGAGTGCCCTTCCAACCCAGCTCTTTACATGGATTCTCACCTTGCTCCCCAGGGATCCATTACTCACACTGTCCTCGGCTTTTGCAATGTGCACAGACTCCTGCTTAGGCTTTCCATGCCTAATGCTGATGAAAGTTAAGTACACAAGAGCAAGTGTTTCTTTTGCACTGAGACCAAAAAATGGATTTCCATGCTCTTTGATGGTCCTGAGTGTGTAATATTATATGTGTGGTGAGTTGTAAGAAGCATTAACTATGAAGAGCAATACAAAATAAACTGGATCTGTTAAGTTCCTTGTATTTTGTGTGGAAGACTCCAACTGACTGTATACTTACCTGAGAAATGTTTTATTAAGTTATGCTGTAACTCCCTCTGGTGATCAAGACTTGTATCAGACCTGAAGGCCAGGTTTATAGCACCTTTCTGAGCACAGTTTTATTTCTACAGAATGAATCTAAGGTGATCTTTAAAACTGCTCACTTTTGTAATTTCCTCAATACTTGTCCGCTGTACAGAGAATAATTGATTAGTAAAAATTAATTCAATGTAATCAGTAAATAGTAATTAATGTTGTGTGAGAGAAGATGCTAGATTCCATTGTGGCAGGAGAAGAAACATGAAGTTTTTGATGGAGGACAACACACAAAGAGGGCTGCAAGTCCTAATCCCTTCATTACTGCAGAATGCATGAGTACTCTTCAAAATAAGATGCAGCACCTGAGCTAGCTGCATTGCTGCAGTGTGTAGTGTCCCTCTGGCAGCCTCCACTTGCAGGATCCTCACGAGTCTCTGGCTGTAAGCCAAGGCTTCAGAACAGCATTTGGACAAACACCGTTGTTCTCCTTTCTTGGTGACTCCTCTGTTTGATCCCATTGAGCCTCCCCTGGGGTTAAGCTGTAAGAGCAGCCAGTGCCCTTTGAAAGTGATGTTTGGCATGACATTTTATGTTTCATGGGAAAAACATGGTCTCTGTGGTTTAAAATTGTTTTCTCCACCCTAAAAAAGTGTTTCTCTTTTCTGAAGATTTCTGTATCCCGTCATTCATGAAGGCATGGGAAGGCACTGTGCAAAGCTCTTAGAAGACCAAAAATTATGCTAGAGCTTATTCTTACACTTGGCAAGGCAAAGGATAATAAATGGAAAAAAAGGTGATTTAAATTACCTTTGCCTGTACTATGTCAGGAACTCAGCACAGTTCATAAGCAGCTTTGTAGCAGAGAAATGAGCCTTGCTGCCGTCTTTTATCCTTGGCTCCAGGAACTCCTCAAGGTACTGTCATTTGAAGAAGACATGAATCTCTTCTAATGCTTCCAGCATTCCCCTGTAAAAATAACATCATTTTTCATTCCAATGTATTTTATCTCAAGCCCTTTGGGTCCTGAGGTGATAGTGAAAAAGAAACTATACCTAAAACCTGGAGTTTAACATACAAAAAAAAAAACCAAAAAACCAGAGGAAAGAGCACAGGGGCTGACCACTGTCATTAATGTTTGTGGCCTCAGAAGCAGACCAAGTGAGTGCTGCCAGCAGTGCTGTTCAGTGCCGCTCACTGAAAACCCATGCACATCTGGGAGCTAAATTTATTTTTCACTAGATTTCTAAAGCTTCTCTGTCAACCAATGCATTTTTTTTCCCCACAGTCTTCTCCTCCAAAGTACTATAGGAGCCATTGGTTCAATGTATTTTTTTTTTTAATCCTGAAAAGTAGTGAGTTAGAATGATCACAGGTGTTTATGACTCACAGGAACTGAAGAACCCAAAATCTTTGTTATCTCAATTATTTTATTGTCCACTTCTTTATTAGAAGGCTCATACTGGAAAGCAAATCTCTGGCATAATCTTGTACATTCCCCACATTTTTCAACACACACATAGCTAGCAAGAAGCAATTATATTCAAAAGATTAATGTGCATAAAAGAGTTTACAGGCTTTATTAGCCAAAAAGGCTCCCCCCTGTGTGAGATAATGAGTAGGAAATAGTCAGAATTATCAGCCAATCAGCCCATCAGACCCCATGGGCTTTTACCTGTTGCCTGAGGAAAAATGTAAAACTAAGTATATAATGCCTGACTTGCAGATGGGCAACAAAAACAAACTTCAAACAAGACACTGGGGAGGATTTGCTGATAACCACATGGTTAGCTGTAACAGACTTTAGAAAGAGAATGCCCTGTTCACTAATTTCTCAAAAGCATGTATGTTCACACAGTGGGACCTACATCCCAGTCAGTGTTTCTGGTGGGGAGCATCTACTGAAAAAATCAATTATCACTTCTATCAGCTTCCACCTAGAAAAAGCACACTGGCAGGAACTACCTGTAATATTTCCATGTAATGACCTTATTTATTTTTCTAATAAGAATTTGAATTAGTGTAAAAATTATGAGACATTTTCAGTCTAAGGACATGAGCACATTTAAGAAGTTCTGTATCTCCTCTTCTAGTGCAGACTGAGAGAGAGACACAAAGAGGAGCAACCTTAACCCTGTGGCTTGATGGGTGCTCAATTTGTTAAGTAAATACTAATATATATGCTGTCATATTTTCAACTCATAGTCTGGTGTCCCTTCTGCACAGTCCTGATTACCATGTAGGTGCATTTAGGCTAAGTTTCTTGCAGATCAAGTGTTTTCACCATACTGAAACCCACCTGCACCCATGGGAATACATGGTTGCCAAAGAGACCACAGGTAGGGCTCATGCTCAGCCAGCAAACACAGACTTCAGCTGCACTGCACTGCCACAACCATTGCTGTCGTGTACAGACACTGTTTTGTTTGCACCATACTGTTGTTCACATGATAATCTAGTTGGATTCAGTGGATAAAACCTGCTGCTATAGAAGTCAGTGGGAGCTCTGCCACCCTTCCCAAGGGCAGCAACACTTCACACAATAAGACTGTTCATATCAGTAAATTTGTCTATGTGTATAAACATAACTGTTCCTGGCTGACCCTCCTTTGGCTTCATCTTTGAGTGAATGAATGAAAAAGGCTTACATTAAGCCAGCGTACTACATGCTGACTCAAACACCAATGGTTCCAGAAAAGTCAAGGTGTCTTCTGTTGCCACTAAGTCAAAAAAGAAAGAAATATTACCAATTATATTATTAACTGCGTAATTGTTTTATTATATAGCCTTATTTAAAAAATTACCGGACATCCAACTCTTGTCAGCTAAATATTTTGTTTATAAATACTGTAAGGTCAATAATGACTTGATTTGGTTGCAGAGTTCATTAAAACACCTATTTTTTCTCCATTTTCAGACTTGTATTCTGTAACAAAGTAATTGTATATTTAGAATGCAGTGGATTGTAGGAGGGACATAGCTTTGACATACGGCAAGAACAAACTGTACAGCTTCTGTTATGAGAAGCTGGAAGCAGAAAATTGCATCTGTCAGTGTAGTCAGCTTCTTTCATTATGCAAATGGCAAAAGTATTTTTCACTTCCATGTGAAGGTCAAGAGACATTTTTTTGGTCTGAGATCAGACATCCTCAGTCTACTGTGAAATGTTTTAAACTGGAAGAAAGCTGGTCAAATGTCAATAACATGTTGGACCTTCAATATTGCTATTAGACCCTAAAGTGTGAAACTCACTACATTATGTTCAGCTCAGT